CAGTTCTGTTGAGTTTGCAAATGAAATCTTCTAAGTGGTCTCAATCTTAACACATTTTTGCTTTTTAACATTTGTTTCTAGCCAAACTACTCATTCTTTGGTACATTCTTTTTTCACTTGTGCCCCACTTCATGTGAAATACTGCAAAGCATTTAAAATGTTTACTCTAAAATAGACACTGAAAATTGGTGTACTACAGAATACTGTGCAACTTCAAGGGGAAATCAGCAGCAATCATGTGCTCTCATCTTTTGTCTAAAATGCCAGGTGGCTTTATGTATTTTGGACCTCTTGTCATTGAAGGCCTCCCACACTGCAGTCAAGCATCAGTGTTACAATTCTTAATGGAAACCCCAGCACAAAATTAAGTTTATGCAGTTTGCACAAAGCATTTAGCATAGAGTGCTTATGCTGCTTAATACTGTTACTGTGAGCTCAGCTTTAATTCAGCTGATGAGAAATAGCTGTGGTTATTCTTAATAAACTGAGATGTCCTGAAATTTGGAAAAATGGAAGGAGGAGGACTGAGTTAAGCTACCCCAAACAGCAATTTGATCTTGATTAAATGTTTCTGGAATTTGCTCTTTTCTGTGTTAAGATTAGCAGACTTGTGTGGCCTTTATCTGTCTGGTAATGTCACATGAGAGAATATTTCTTGAGAACATCACTGGCCAAGGAACAGTGATCTACAGTCTACATATGTAGTGAGTGAGTAGCAAAGAGGTTGGCTGTGTTGGCTCTGATCTTTTTTACTAGAAATACTGGTAACATTGAATAGGAATCATGTCTGTGAAATATGTAACAATGCATCTTTTTTGACTCAATTTTTGATGAAACACTTGATTTTGATTGTTAAGCGGTTAAACTTATTTTTGTCCATATCAAGATATAAGTATACCTAAACTGCCTTTCAGACTGTTCTGAGTATTAAATCTTGTATCTCTTCCTGTGCAAGAAATAAACCTTTATTTTTTTTCCCCTCAAAGGTTCAAGAGAAACAGTTGGAGATTCAGGAATGGGAAAAGAAGTATGATAAGCTTCATATGAAATACAAGGAGATGGGGTATGAATCTGTCCTGATTTTTATATCTACTTTATTCCAGCTGCTTTTTCTAACTTATGTTCAACTTTTTTCATTTTTTTTAGAGAAATAGTTGCTGAGTTTGAAGGTACAATAACACAAATAATGGGTGAGTCCTGTATTTGCACTTTGAATGGCTTGGGGCATGGAGCAGGCTTGGCCTGTGGTTACTAACTGGAGTTGGTACTCTGTCATTTCTGATGGCATTAATGTTCCAGGTGCTTCCAGGGTGAGCATAAGGTTTCAGACAAGGTAGAACAACACTTATGCATATTCATACAGACATGATATCACTTGGTAGGTAATGATGATTTCCTGAATCAGGCATGAACACATCTAACTTTTTTTTATTAAAACTGGCAGATCCAGTTGTCTGCACTTTGTATTTAATTGTTGATTATCTGACCTCATTTAAGTGTTGAGATGTCAGTTGGAGTTCTTGCTGGAGAGTTTTGTTTGGCCTTTGCTTTAATCAGGTTTGTGGTTGCAAAGTGAGGGGGACATTCAATGAAACTCTTGTTATATAGGTACACTCTCCTAGTTCAAAGCCAAACACCCAAATCTGTGCCTTGCTTAAATTTAACTCTTTAAGGAGAGTGAATATGCTCTCAACTTTTCTATGCTGCTCTAAGCCTGTGGGAAACATTGCTCAGATGTGGTAACAAAAACTT